TAGGACTGACCGGTTTGATCGCCTTGCAGTCCAAGGGACTCGCAGGAGGCTTTTCTAGCACCATAGTTCAAAGAATATGGAGGTAGTGACTCTTTTACATATGCATATACATACATAAAAGGGATGTAGTGACTCAGTGGCAAAGACTCTGAGTTTGTCAATCAGAAAGGTCGGCAGTTCGGTGGTTCGAATCCCTAGCGCCGCCTAACGGAATGAACTCCTGTTACTTGTCCCAGCTTCTGCCAACCTAGCAGTTCGAAAGCATGTAAAAAATGCAGGTAGAAAAATAGGAATCACCATTGGTTAGAAGGTGACAGCATTCCATGTGCCTTTGGCGTTTAGTCATGCCGGCCACATGACTGCAGAGACGTCTTCAGACAGCGCTAGCTCTTTGGCTTTGAAACGGAGATGAGCACCACCCCCTAGAGTTGGGAACGACCTAGCACATATGTGTGAGGGGAACCTTTACCTTTACCTTTATAAATACATATACACATATATTATACATATACATGAAAGTGAAGGCCAGAATAAATGGGGCATACTGCAAAACTGATGGGTCTTTGTCATGCAACTAAAAATGTCATTTTTCCCTAGACGAATGGGCTTTTTAAAAACTACTTTTCAGCCTATTTTAGGGACTGCATTGCTGTTTTCATGTGTTTAAGGCAGGGGAAAAAATGTTTTTCCAACACAGTGCTGGGAGAGTTCTCTGGGGCCTGCAAAACAAGGCCATCTCTGCATTAGGCCGATGGATGGGACTTTTTAAAAAGCCAAGGTGAATTTTGTTCTAACTTGGTGGCATTTTTTCATACCCCAAAAGATAGACAATTATCTCCCCCACCTCCCGCTTTAATTCGGGGGGGAGGGGACTGTCAGTTAAGTGTAGATGGACCAATTGCAGTTCTAATCGCGCCAGCATAAGGGGCAAAAAAGGGGGTATTTGATCCAATCCTGCATAAGGTGACCAGACGTCCCGATTTTCGCGGGACAGTCACAATTTTGCACAATTTGTCCCGCGTCCCGTGACGTTCTTAAAAACTCCTGATTTTTTTTTTTAATTTTTATCTTTACCAATGTAAAGAGGCTGCAAGGCCGTGGCAGATACAGGCCGCCAGTGGGTCTTACTGATTTTCTTTTTGGGGGGAAGGAGGAGAAAGGACAAAAAGGAGAAAGAGGGAGAAAGAGGAGGTGGGGGATAGTGGGATATTAAAAATTGTCCAAAACAACTGACAATTTCCATACTACTGCTAAGAAAATGACGACACATCAATAAAATTATAAGAGCT